TGCTGAGCAAATAATCTGAGAACCTGGACTATATGAAGAAGAAGGAGGCATAAGGATTGGAAGAAGACTCATTAACAACCCGTGATATGCAGACAGCACAACCTTGCTTGCTGAAAGTGAGGATGACTTGATGTACTTACTGATGAAGAGTAAAGACTGCAGTCTGGAGTATGGATTATACTTCAACATGAAGAAAATGAAAATCCTCACAACTGGACCAATAAGCAGCTTCAGGATAAATGGAGAAATGATTAAAATTGCCAAAGATTTCATGTTACTTGGATAGATAATTAACACCAAAGGAAACAGCAGTCAAGACATCAGACATAGTATTGCACTGGGCAAATTTGTTGCAAAAGACCTCTTTAAAGTGCTGAAAAACTAAGATGTCTCTTTGAAGACTAAGGTGTGCCTAACTCAAGTTGTGATATTTTTAGTAGCATCATATGCATATGAAAGCTGGACAATGAATAAGGAAGACCAAAGAAGAGTTGATGCTCTTGAGTTTTGGTGCTGGCGAAGAACACTGAAAGTACAATGGACTGCCAGAAGAATGAACAAATCTGTCTTGGAAGAAGTGCAGCCAGAATGTTCCTTGGAAGAGAGAATGGCCAGAGTTCCGGCAAGATGGCAGACTAGGCAGAAAGACTGCACAGACTCTCTTCAACAAAGAAAATGGAAACCAATTAACACAGACACAGAAGATACTCCTGGAACCCTGAGCCTTGAAGGGAAGGATATAGAAGTGGACTAAGCCCCAACTAGCAGAAGAATTTGCATGAAAATACCCAAAAAGGAGGCATATGGAGATGCAGTCTGGCTGCGATCCTGAGCAATTTTGACAGCACAGACAGCTTGGAGATTCCCAAGTGCTGGTAGGACTTAAGAATTAACTTAAAAATCACCCTGCTAGCCAGGGACTACACGGAAGACTATGCACGGTGGCTGGGGAACAAACGGAGAAGGTGAAAAGAAAGGTGGGCTGAGCTGTGGACTTTTGCCAGTCCGGAGGATGCCACCATTTTGAACATTTAAAAAGCGGCTTGACTATTTTGGATATTTAAAGAGACAGCACTCTCGCAGATTCCTGGGGCTTAAGAACACATTCTGCTTTCCAGCAACCCCCAGGACAATTGGGACCTACAAGACTGACAAGTTTTTTGAAAGTTATTCAATTGTAATTTGTGTCTAATTGAGTGGAAGACAACAGCAGTCCCTATAAGACACAACTGTACCCACACCTCCTGAAATTTCACTTACTGAGCAAGAACCACTACCTCCTTCTCCACCAACAGGCCAACAATAAAAAACCACCAAGAAGAGCTGGGATCACCCTTGACTGCTCCTCACAAACAGTTAACAAAGATCTAAATACAACAATGCCACAATGCCTCAGAAACAACAGATCATCACAGTCCACACAAAGAAGCAGGATAAAGTGGTAGAAACAAGTCAACAGGATACAGACCCAGAACACATCCCTGAGGAAGAAGCAGCATTGTAACTCTCTGATAAGGAATTCAAAAGAATTATCTTTAGGTATCTTCAAAGG